CCGCTCACAGGGGCTATTCTCAGCAGATTATCAAGTGTACTTTGATTAGCCTGCTCAGACAGGCTGTTCTCCCTTAGTGGCTGCTCCCAGTAGAGGGGATTCCCTGCCTCTCAGCCGATTRYAAMAGGTMTGCCGTGTCTCAGCYCGAACTACGATCGCAGCGCCCACTTYCGCCTGGGACGACACTCTCTTCTCTCTTTTTGAGATGGCTACGAATGCCCACTACCTTCAGCGACGCGCACYATCTGTCCCCCCCGCTCAAGCGGCTTCTCGCCCGATTGCCCTTGAGCAGCGCAGCGTTCCGCCGCTCCATGCACGAGGCTCCTCTCGTGTTTCCCCTCCTCTCTTTGATGRCTTCCGTAACYGCTYCGCCACYGCCGTGGCGAGGGCGAGGGACACCTTGCACGACTTTCCTAATCCCCCCCTYTGTCCACTGTCYSCGCCTGCATACGTACTGTGACGCGGGCTGGGTACACCGTGCATACCTCCCTAGCTCTCTAGTCCCCTTTCCCTTTATGGTTTTCCCGCACAGCTGAACGTGGTCTTTCCTCCTCCCAKGTCCAATCCGTAGGMCTTCGTAGGMTGAAGGTAAAAGCAGGGCCAGGCCCARCGMTGGTGCAATRGAACCCATATAYAGTCTCAGCGGGACCTSCCACTGAAACCTGYTGTAAAAATAAAGCCAGRTACTTCCGTATGGCAGGTACTCATACCAAACCTGTCACTTTTGCGCTCCAAAGCCAACCACGGTACTTAAAAGMAATTGTATTATACCAGTTWCCARCAYAAAAGCCGAACCGCGGTCCAGCTGTTGCTTCCAACACCCAGTTACCATGCTTGTTCCGTATCTGTCCCGGATCAGAATGTCGGGCCGAACYAGAAATAGCCTCTTGACAATTCTGAGCTGTCAACACCGAACTGAGAATAAATCACTGCGAACCTGAAAGTGATGTAGTGATGTATATCATACCGATGCCGGATACCGTAGAAAACTGAAAAACAAGGGTAGTACCGAACCTATTCCGGACCTGAAGCAAACTGCCGCCAAGGTTCCAAACCTGGAAAAACTGTCGTAGTGGCCCCGATCTTGAGAATAAATCACCGCAGCTGTCCCGAACCTGAAAATAGGTCACCWTAGTGAAACAGCTGTCACCGGGCCTATACCGTACCTGAAGCACGTCAGACACCGTAGGACCTAGCCACCCCGTATCAACCCTCGTATCCGTACCGCACCAAACACCATAGTYGACCCAAGGCAGCACYTGTCCATGCGACCCCCGCTCTCAGAACATCCCAACTGCGATAAGGTTAGTRATCAAGCAAACCAGCGAAAACGACGCAGGGAGCCTMGGTCATCGGCAGTAGTGGAAACTGATAAAATTCGGGAAAAATGCTAAATCCGGGGTCAGGGCTGATGGCGGGTGACCAAAGCGAAATTAGCCCAATCTCCCAAGAGTCATGGGTTCCCGTCCCTTTTATCGTTTTTAATCATTCTCCCCTTTCCTTAATTCTGTTGTCGGAAATAGTAAATTAATCGTAAGTTCCATAAAATYCAATCCCGGGAAAGTTTAAATAAATGACCGAATTCCTTGTGTTTCTTTTCWCTTTTACGATTTTTAATCTTTTTCTATGTTTTTAATTTAATTGTCRGAAAAATAAAATAACAACGGTATTCTRTGAAAAAATGAAGAAATTAGGGGATATTWTGTCTTTCCCTTCTCGCCTAMTGGTCCTAACCCCTCTTCCCACCTTTAATTATGATACTAAAATAGAAAAAAATTTGAGGCCCCATTTCGCCCCGGTCGTATGCTGCAAAAACGTTGCGGCGAGGTYAACTCCCTTGATGCCTCTCCGCAGCAGGTMAAYCCCGGTCTAACCCTCGGAACGGTCGGAAATGGCAATCCCTAGACATGCCGAGTCCGGTCACCCATCTCGCCATCTTTGAGGGTTACTCATAAAGCTGAGTGCGCCCAAAATCAGGGGTGCCCTGAGTTCCCCTAATTTTTGCTGCCTGGTCATACGAGACTTCCATCAAAACACAGATTTGCCCCTGAGCCTAAGTCGCAAAACTGCGGATCTCAGGCGGCGCACTGCCTGTGGCCGCCTGACAGTTAGCCCGGACCACTTCTCGACGCCCCCGTCGAGCTCCTAGCAACTAATGTCAGACGAAGCGGACGAGCTTTAGGGTTGTGGCCCGTAAAGGACACCCACGTCGGCGCTCAATCGTCTTATGTTTAAGTTTGTTACGAGTCCTGGGGCTAAGAAAATGCTTCTTGATTCTCCTGTTTCTTCTGGTTTTTGGTCCCGTCACGATCCTCTTTTTCTTCTGTCTTTGCCGCGAGCAGGGTGCCGACCCTCCAGTACGTCTAGCTCGCTTGAGCACGAATAACCATCTCTTCTCTCTTCCTAAGGCTAACCCTTTGACCTTTCTCTTCTCTATTCTTTTCCTTTTCTTGGAACTCTCCCCTGCCTCGAATTGCCTCGAGGGGGCCCCATCCTCCATCATGGCTTTCCCTTTCCCTTTCGGGCTGGTTAGCGATAAAGCGGGCGCGGGTCTGGGCCTAAACAGCTTTAACCTAGCCTCCGCCACTGGGTCCTTCCACTTAGATCCGTCTAGTTCTGCTATCATATATGCACCCCAGTCAAGTTCCTCAACCACTTTGTAAGGTCCCATCCATCTATTGGCAAGCTTTCCGGTCCAGGTTCTTTCCAGCGCTGCATCGTAGAGGAGGCACCCTTTCCTTCCTGATCCGCACGTTCTTATCCCATCTCTCTTTACCCTTGTCCCTTTCCACTGCCAGACGATCGGCTGCTGTCATAAGGTTATCTTCCAAMCCGTAGGCTATCTGTCTTGTTCGAGCAGCTAAGAGTTCCTCTCTGGACATCTCCTCTGCCCAGTCGACGGTTGTCCAACTGTCGACGTGAAACTCTATGGGAMGCGGACAATGTCGTCCAAACYACAAGGTGTATGGTGGGTATCCGGTACTAGCCCGGACCGTGACGTTGTCCGCCCATATCGCGTATCGAAAATATCGTGGCCAATCACTGTCTTTACCCTTGCACCACTTGGACAGTGACGCTATCAGAGTCTGGTGTCCCCTCTCTACTGGGGAGTTCGACTGTGGGTGATAGGCGGTGGCTATCGAAACTCTCGCACCGGCTCTCCTAAACACGCTCTGGACCTCGTCGCCTAGGAATTCCGCCCCTCTGTCCATCACTATCTTGGCGACACAACCATACCTAGATAAGTACTCTAGGACAAAGTTCTTTACTTCCTTTGCCGCCTTACTCCTGATAGGTCTACCGTTCACGAACCCAGTGAAATCGTCTCGTATGTTCACGACGTAGTTCATATTTCCTACCCCTCTCGGCATCTTCACTAGATCGATATGTACCTTCTCTCCTGGTCTGGTCGGATAGGATGGATGAAGTTGCTCTTTGTATTTCACAAGAGCTCTCTTCTGGCACTCTTCGCATGTCATACAGTACCTCTCGACGTCCTTATACTGTCCATCCCACCAGTACAGCCGGTGTATCTTTTCGTAGGTTCCCTTGACTCCCCTGTGTCCTCCGACTATGCCGTCGTGAAGTTCCGCAACTATTGTCTGTCTCTCCTCAGGGTCACAGACTACTCGTAAGGGCATTCCCGACCCTACTGGCCTTTGGAAAAGGTGGCCCGCTCTAAGGCAGTACTGGGCTGTTTGCCTCCGGATATCTGAATCTTGACACTCTTCTCCCGTCAGGTGTAGTTCGATCATTCGGTACTTGCCCTCGTAAAGTTTAACTAGAAATCTCTTGGCGCGCCTCGGCTCTGCCATTGTCAGAGCCCCAGCTACTATCGGACGCTCGAGAGGGATGCGTGAAAGTCCATCTGCCACGGCATTTTTCGTACCAGATACTCTTTCGACCGTGTAATCGTATAGCCGAATCCGTATTAACCATCGGGCGATGGTCGGGTCCGTCAGACTAAAGTCCTTCTGGAGGACAGAGGCAACCGCGGTGGGGTCTACTCTCAAGATGAACCATCGCCCATAGATATAGTGTCTGAATGTGTCTAGACACCGGAAAACAGCTAACACCTCCTTCTTGAATTGACTGTAGTTACGCTCARCCGTATTAAGTGTCTTACTCTCAAATCTTAACGGTCTTTCCTTCCCTCTAGCATCCTTCTGAGACAACAAACCACCCACTGAACATGGTCCAACATCCGTGGATACTATGAAGGGTCTCTCGGTCTCATCGTCAAAGAATGGCACGCCCAACACGCGTCCTCCCTCCTTAAATTCGTCTTTAAGTTCTTGCGTTGCGAGTTTCTGCGAAGAATCCCAGTAAAATTTTTCAGTCTTTCGAAGGAGTGACCTCAATGGCTCAGCCTTCTCCGCATACCCCCGTATGAATATACGCCAGTAACCGACCACTCCCAGAAATTGTCG